GTACAAAAAAGTAAATAATAATTTTTGTATGTAAATCCACTAGGACTTAGAGATTAAACTATTTAATAATTGGATATTTAATTTTTGAGACTTGGGCTTAAGTATATAACACAACTCATATTAAATATTAGAACAATATCATATATTACTATGATATTAAAATACATTGTTTTGTATATTGTAACATCAAATGCATCACAAATCCTTCGAATACATTACGTAACGAACTGCTTTAATTATAATAAAAAAATTTAGTTTGTACATAATGTGTTAAATTTTTTTACCTTAACAAACCTTTAGACAGGCAATTAGGTCAGACCATATTTTTAAACAGGTCAGACCTAAACTTTGATTTTTTTTAAACAGACTAACAAGTCAGGCTCAGGCTCTTATATGTTATATAGGTCCGACCTGTTTAAGGCAAAACTTAACCTGACCTAACATGTTTCCACCCCTAACCCTATTACACGTTATCCATAGTGTAAATAAAGAAAAATGAAGGTAGATAGAGAAAAATGAATGTGATTTCAGCAGAATAATTTTCTTATTATTGAATGAATATTTCATTTTTCACATTAAATTGAATTATAAAGATGAAAGGAATCACTCTGTATAGATTTTATTGACTAACTCGACAATTAATCAGTTAATTGATTAACAAATAGATTATAATAACTAACAAACTGAAATCAACTAATAGTTAATCGATTAACTATACTGTTAATCGATTAACTCTTACAAAATACAACAATTTAAATATCCATATAATCAATTAACAATATCTCTTAATTTAGATTTTAGTTATTAACCTTTAGTTTAAAAGTAAACATGTTTCTTTTTTTTTTATATTATAAGAAAACTTGTAATTTTATAAGAATATATATTTTTACTCCCATCAAATATATCAATGGAAAAACAAACCAAAATCGGGGTTCAACTTTATGCTTTGCAAAAGGTCAAAAAGACCGATTTCCGAAAAGCAATTTCTTTTGAAACAGCATTCACATTTTCATACAGTACTGTACGCCTAAATCATCGATTTCATTGAAGAAATTGATAGTGCTAATTAATTTTATCCTAACTTTTAGAATGGGTAATTAATTTAGTCCCAACTTTAATAACTTGCAATCAATTAGTCTCTCACGTTCTTCAATTATCAATTCGACTGTCCCACAATTTCTGAAGTCATTTCGATGAGTCATGAGCTATGCTTAGTGAAGAAAAAGAAAAATAGTTAATAATTAAAAATTTAATTTAAATATATTTTTTAACCAATCATTCTTTATTGCATATGGAGTAAAAAAATATGGTAGGACAGAATATGTGTTTGGCCTAAACTTGTCTAGTTGATCAATTTGAACTTTTTTATAAATCAATTGCATTATTAGAAGGAACAAATACATGATAAATCTTAAGCAAAAAGTTAACTATTTTCTAAATACAACTAATAGCACAAGCATGGAGATCACTAGGGGGGGCATGCAAAGGAGCTTCAATCTAATTGTTTCAACAACAACCATAGCAAGCGGAGTAGCTTCTCCACACTGACCTTCGAAAATGCTATAATTTCTTCTTCCAAAATATGATATAAGCCAAGGAAGCAAAGGACGGTGCAAGTTAAAGTGGTGGCATTTGCCCTTTGATTTTTTTATTATTTCAAATGTTTTAAGATGGTCATGCTTTAATGTGGCACGTATAACATTTCATTAGATTTAACTAGTTCACACCAATGTTTGTGACCATGTTTTAAATTGCAGAAGTGTTTATATTAAAGTGAATGTAATTCCTAACTTTTTATGCGTAATATGACCAGGATAGTAGCAAATGTGTCAAAATTTATTTATTAGCTTTTTTAGCCAAAGAAAAAAAAATGAAGGAAGACTACATTCTAAGTATTAACGGGCTTAGCTTGTGAAGTGTACATATTTGCGTGAAAATATAATTTTTTTCTATCTATGGGTTTGGCTGCAAAAGCATACCAAATTTCACTGTTAAAAACAATGTTATTAAAACCGTACAGGTTATCAAACCGGTCAGGGTACTGGTATAATGGTACAGTGGTTCAGTAATTAAACCGGACATACTTGCTTATATATATAAACTTATAACAAAAAATTTCAAATAAGTAGATATTCAGATTTATAATTCATATTCATAATCTACTCCAAATTCACACAAACAAACAACATTAAGTCTTTAACAAAATCAAAGTCTAAAGTGCAAAACATATATTAATCCAAAATTACCACTTAACAAACGCAAAATACAAATAAATGACACAAATATCAATTATTGAAGTTGAAAAATTGGTGAAGAATTAAAATTTTGAAATTAAAAAAAATAGAAATTAATGTACAAACCGGCCGGTTTTTACCAGTTTTCAATGGTTCTATTGCATATGCGGTATAACATACATACCGTACCGATTAGGGGTCCGGTTCACCGGTTTTCCGGTTGAACTGGCCGGTACGGTTTTTACGACATTGGTTAAAAGGGAGAAACAAAACTACAAAAGAAATGGAAAAGAAAAACAATTCCATCAGCCAGGACAAATTGTCCGCAACGTGCAAGATGCATTGCTTAACGTGCTTCAGAGCGAGATTTCCCTCGGATGTTGCTTATGCATCGTTGAGTGAGGAAGGACTCGCTCAAGGAAAATCACTGTGTTTTTGTCATTTCATTACAAAAGAAGTGCATTTGTGATCGATGAGCACTGTGTTTATGTCATTCATGTTCCCCTATGCCTCTATATAGCTCTTTGTTGCGCCCTTTTTGTCTACCATTCTGAATTAAACTTGCAAATGAAGTTATTGTCTCATCAAAAACGCTGAGCACATCAAGAAAACAAGGCCAAATAATAAAGGTTAAATAAAGGAGTTGTCAGAACAATGCCTTTTCCAAATCAATCATTGATATCCAAAAAGCTTACTTGGTACCTTTATAATGATGCTTGCTACTTGCAAGCAAAATGCTTAAGTGATTACTCATTCACCTACAAATTTTTTTGCCTTCTAATAAAGAATTGGTATTTAATTGTTTAAAAATTGGAGGTGGGGTGGAATCAATGTTATTAAAACCGTACCGGTTAGGGTACTGGTATAGTGATACAGTGGTTCAGTAATTAAACTGCATGCCGGTTAAACCGGACATACTTGCTTATATATATATATATATAAACCTATAACAAAAAATTTCAAATAAGTAGATATTCATATTTATAATCCATATTCATAATTTACTTCAAATTCACACAAACAAACAACATTAATTCTTTAATAAAATCAAAGTCTAAAGTACAAAACATATATTTATCCAAAATTATCACTTAACAAACGCAAAATACAAATAAATGACCCAAGTATCAATCATTGAAGTTGAAGAATTGGTGAATAATTGAAAATTTGAAATTTAAAAAAAAAAAAAAATTATTGTACAAACCAACCGGTTTTGACCGGTTCTATTGCATATGCGGTATAACATACGTACCGTACCGGTTAGGGGTCCGGTTTTCCGGTTGAACCGGCCGGTACGGCATGGTTTTCAAAACTATGGGTGGAATGCTCAATTATTACCTTATATTCAAGATAATTCCAATGACTCAATGGATACTGAAACTTAAATAGAAGAAAAGGAAGCGTCTGTAACATTGATTCTTAGAACATGTATCAGTGTAGGACATTTAGGGTTTTATCTAGCAAATTAGATATTTAAGCCAGGATAAAAATTATTTACGGGATAATCAGCTATATAATTATGCAACACAAACATGAATACACGTACCTGTAATAATTGATACTATTCTGTGTATGTCATCTGTATTCAGATCTATCTTACTATAACTGTTAAATGATATGGAAATGAAGAAGGACATGGTAACCATAGAAAAGTATAGATCCTTGTCACATTAGCACAGAACTTGTAAAACGAAGTGAAATACTATCTATAATAAGCAAATAAGAACAAATTAGAAAAAATAGATAAAAATTTACCGGCCATATATGTTACAGATGATAAGACATGCTAAAAACTCAGACTTTCTTTGTGTCTTAAATTGATAAATTCACAGGAAATATGTAGAAACAAGGATCTTGGCACTGTATTACGGTAACATGTGCCAGATGGCATATAATCGGGCGGGAAAGGATCATTTCTATTAATGGAGAGGCAAGTGATCACTTTTGCATTTACATTTAGGGTTAAAAATATCATTATATTTTATCTTAATGATAAAAGTGTCAAATCAAATTTCATTTTTCTCTTGTTTTGGGTGTACTCCTAACTCTAATCGGCCTTGTTATTAATCAAGTGAATAAAACTAGGCTTCGGTTTTATCACAAAGTAGACAACGGTAAAACTAATTAAAGGGTCTCATCAACATGCTTTTTCAAGTAGGATTCAAAACTTTGGTTATCCTAGATAAATTAGTAACGTAGATATTTATTAGAGAGAATAATATAGGCCATGAAACCCTAAAGAGAAATATGTAGACTGAGAAAGGTAAGAGGGAAGAGGAGGGGCATGAAATAGAGGAGAATGTTTAACTAAGTTCAAAAGGATACCAGATCTAAGGTAATATAGAAGAAATAGACAGATCGGATAGTTGGAAACACAGTTAAGAGTGGATCTGGCTAATGAAGAACAAGAGAAAAAGGTAAATGCACCTGACAACAAAAAACATCATCATAACTTGTGATCAGAACAAAAAAGGGAAGAAAACGAAAAGGAAGTAATGATGAAAACCTTTTGTAACAACTGAAAATTGGTCAACAAGGTTCATCATTACACCAATCTGCATAACTACTACTACCCACATGTGTAACTGATCAGAAAACAAAACCCCACGGTTCAGATCTACCTATAATTAAGAAAAAAACAAAACTTTCAGAGTAAATTAAATTTTCTAAATAAATGGTAATTATAATAGAGGAGTAGAGGACCCAAACCTATAAAAAGTTGTCCATAAGCAGAGGCTATGTCGTTTTTTCACGTGGAAGATTATAACTGAGGGGAATGAAGCCTGGTCCGACAACACTGTAAATTCCTTAATCATTCACATTGATTAAGATGATAGAGTCCTCGAGCCAGACAACATTCACCTCAGAAAACAAAGCTTCCTAAATGGTCTCCTTCTTCAAGCTGCTGAGATCAAAATCATTTTTTCTTCATTCTTAAAAAAGAGAAATGGTTTGGTATTATTGAGTTGCACAGTCTATAGTGTAACTCTTCATCCCCCATGAGTCACGCCTATGATAAAGGGGGAGCCATGGGAGAGAGAGAGAGAAGGTTGTGTGGTGAGGATGAGTGGGTGAATATGAATGATGATAGGAGAGAGGGGAAAAAGAATGGGGTATAATAAGATTAAAAATAAATAAAGGATGGAGTGGGGGAAGGCAACGTTAAAAAATAAAAGGATTTGGTTGAAGCAAGATTTGTTTTCCCAAACAATTATATACAACTTTATAAATTACACCCGAGGTTTGAATTTACACAAATTATATATATATATATATATATATATATATATATATATAATTATAGGTAATTTGTGATTTCTTAATACATTACACTCCTAGTAAGAAATAATTTCTTAAATAAAAAATAATGACGAGTGTAATTAAAATTAAATATGATACATTATGAAGACAATTCCAATAGTATAAAAGTCAATGTATATTTATTATTTTTATTCGTTACAAACTGTATTAATAATTATTAGGAGATGTTTAAATTACTCTTATGTTATATTGTAGCTAACCAAAATAATGAATAGACATCAACTCTTATATTATTTGGACTAGTCTTCATAATGTACCGTAATTTATTTGACTTGATTACACTCTTCGTTATTTTTTGTTTTAAATATTACACATATCTTTCTTACATGGGTAATCAATATAATATATATAAATAATTAGGGTTAATTTATGTAGGTTTTAAAAAGTGTGGATGATTTGCATAATTTAACTAAAATTCAGGAGGTGACAATGTAATCTACTCTGTTTATAATATAAAAAAATATGAATATTTTAATTTTTAATAGACACATGTTTATGGGAAATATGATTTGTGAAATGATTTGAGATCTCGTATCTTTATTTGATTCACGCGTAGAATCTACAAGCTTTGTTCTCACTTCCACAAATGACCGACCCCATGCACCCATAACCTGACCCAACCTTAACCCATCTCTCTCCATATAGACAAAGGTCAATAGTCTATGAATAAGTTTTCGATTAAGTCATTAATATAAACCGTTGAATTTTGGTGTAATGTAATCCTATTGGGTAGGATCATTGTACCTATATACTGTATTACTGACTGATTGGGGTTCTAATAATTTCTTTACCCTTTTAATGCGACATGCTAGATCAATAATTTAAATTGATTAAATTGGGATGTTTTGTGCATATAAATTTAAATTGGGATATTTTGTGTATATAAATTTACTAAATTGGGATATTTTGTGCATATAAAATTTGAAAAGACTGAAATTTTAAATTATTAATAAATAAAATAAAGATGTGTCATTACTAAATTTTTTAATTTTTATCCCTAAGTGAAGAAATATTTTTCTGATATATGATCTCTTGATCATTAAGTCACGATCACAAAGAGAAAATTAGAATAATTTAACGCAAACCAACTCATTTATTAATTTTCTTAATGAAGAGATTGTTTAAGGGATAAATATCCCGTTTAAAAACTTTTGATATTTAAGGTTATGCATATTGTTTTAAAAGTCAATAAATGGTGTAAAAATGAATATAACCGAACTAAAATAACCTCATTTAATACAAATCCAAAACAAAATTACATAGAATTGAAGAATTGTTGAGCGTAAAAGAGGAATAATAAATAAGAATATAATTGAAAAGTAAAATATAAATGTGTATTGTATTTCTAAAACATGAAAAACTTTAAAATAATATGAAAATTTTAAAACATCATATGTTAGGTTTGGAAAATATATTTCTGCATTTATTTAGTTTCATATTTTAATGTTTTAGAAACTCCATTTCTTTTCAACTATACCTATATTTATTCTTCTCCTTTTCAACTATATTTCTTCATTTTTTTTAATTTGTATCAAAATTAGACATAATTTAATAATTTTTAAACTACTTTTCATAATCTGACACCTAAAAAATATGAAATAAAATTATTGAATTGGAAGGAAGAGGTATAATGTGTGAATATGGTAATGATACAAACCATTTGATATTGTGTGATTCAGCATGATGTGCTAATGGTGTCATCCAAATGTGGAGCCAGCTCATAAAGATGATAGCTCTTGGCATTCATTGTTTGTGAAAAAAGAAAGGTACATTGATTGTTGACCATAAGATTATGAAAAAAAAGTACAAATTGTGCATAGAAACTATAAATATAGATATAATGATGCTTACATTATTGAGAGCAAAAGAGAATCAAATGTTTAAAACAGGACTCCTAATGGTTGAATTATGAGTTGCCCGATAATAGGAAACCCTATTATTAGATAATAATATTTTTAGAAAAAATAAATCTACTTCTACCTAACAGCTGTTTTTTCAGGATTTTATTTTAAAAAATTTGGATTAGTGTAAATAAATTAAATAATTAAAAAAAAAAGAGTGACACTGGTTAGTCTCCTCGTACAGCGTGTAACTTTTAAGCGGGCGTGGATTTCGAAGTTATCGACAGATTTGATTGGAGGGTCCAAGATTTTTGTTTGCCTTTTCCGCACCTAATTCTAGGGGTGAGCGTGGGCCGGGTTGGGTTGGGACGGATTAAGGCTTGTCTTTATCTGACCCTAAATATTGTAGAATCATTTTTTGAACCCGGACCCGATCATAGACCCGAAGTTAACCCGACCCTAAATATTTACAAGGTCAGCCTTTAAACCCGGACCCGATTAAATATAATGTATACTCATTTTACATAAAGGCTTATACAAATTATTTATTATTGTGAATATGTAATTTGACATATAAAATAATATATGTGTATATATATTATTAAACATGTATATATGATGAAAAAATAGAGAATCAATGATATTTTCGACCAACAAAGTATCATTACTTTGTATATATTTGAACAGAGACACATACAAACATCATGTGTGAGTGACCATGGGACGAGTTGGGACAGGTCATGCTTTGTCATTTAAGTCATTTGGTTGAGAAGATAGGAGAATGACAGAAATAAAAAACACATGAGATCTATCAATATTCTTTTTGTGGAGTCAGACTTTGGAGAGGATAATTATGTTTTTCATTGTAATTTTAAGGATAAAACAATAATTTTAGTGTATAGTAAATGATATAAGTGTCATTATGATTTGATTTTTATATACATTTTAAGAGTATTGTCCTCTCCAGTAATGGAGAGGAGTATCATTTCTTTTTGTCCATGTGTGAGGAGAAAGGTAGAAGAAGTATGAAATGACAAAATCAACCTCTTTAATCAGTCTCTATATTATATTATTATTGTAATTCATAAAATTTTAATTAGTAATAAAATAATTTTTTAGTGTATGGGTATTTTCGTCATTCAAGAATTTATATCAACAATTTCTCTTTTATTTCTCTCACACCAAACAATACAAAAACCTATTCTATTTCTGACATCTTTCTTTCTCCATTCTCTCTCTTCTTTCATTTTCTTATCTTCAACCAAATGCTATTTGTCTATATATTCCTTTCTATATGCGGAGAATTTCCCCCACCATTAATTGTAGCAGTAACTTTGTTGCATGTATTTTGCTCCTATATATATATATATATATATATATATATATATATATGCTAATACATGAAGGCATAGTTTTGAAAACCGTGCCGTACCGGCCGGTTCAACCGGAAAACCGGTGAACCGGACCCCTAACCGGTACGGTACGTATGTTATACCGCATATGCAATAGAACCGGTCAAAACCGGTTGAAAACCGGTAAACTGGTTGGTTTGTACATTAATTTTTTTTTTTAAATTTCAAATTTTCAATTCTTCACAAATTCTTCAACTTCAATGATTGATACTTGGGTCATTTATTTGTATTTTGCGTTTGTTAAGTGATAATTTTGGATAAATATATGTTTTGTACTTTAGACTTTGATTTTATTAAAGACTTAATGTTGTTTGTTTGTGTGAATTTGAAGTAAATTTTTTGTTATAGGTTTACATATATATATATATATAAGTAAGTATGTCCGGTTTAACCGGCATGCGGTTTAATTACTGAACCACTGTACCACTATACCAGTACCCTAACCGGTTTGATAACCGGTACGGTTTTAATAACATTGTATGAAGGGTGAGTAACTTTGTTGCATGTACTTTGCTCCTATATATATGCTAATACATGAAGGGTGGATCTTGTTCTAAAGTGTAGAGAAGACAACAATATTTAATTACAATTTATAATTAAAATTAATTGAGTAACAATAAAATATATATAAACATGTATAATTTTTTCAAAATTTCAAAATAACATATTAATTTTAAATAACATTAATTAACAACTAAAGATGTTAAAGAGAAATGTAAATCCATTTAATGTGTCGTTTTCCATTCTTTTAAAGTCTTAAACTCATCGTTGATTTAATGAAAGGTAAAAATTCCAATTATTTCATTTTCAATATAAATCATTATGTTGTCAGCAAGAAATACATATTAATTAATGATTAAATCAATGTATGCTATAACAAAAATTTAGAATGTATCAACAATGTCTATAACTACACCCCATATATAATAATAATATTGCAATATTAAATTATGAATTGAGTAAATAAGAATATATCATAAAAGAAAGTATTGGTGAAAATAAATTACAAACACTGTATGAATTCATGAGCAAAATCATGTAACAATTTTTTTGGTAACAAAAACATATATAAAAAAAGCCCTCACAATGGTGCAATGTTAATTTTTTTGGATGTTCGTGCAAGCTGTAATTTTGTGTGATTCTATGCTACAACATCAATAAAATAATGAAATTGTTTATGAGTCATCTGTGATGTCCAAAATTGATGAAGTTTTTATTTAAACAACTACTTGAAGGGTTAACTAAATATTTTAATAATTTGGATTGAGTAAATATGTTAAAAAATTACCCAAAAATATGATAGTTTTTGATTATATTATTCACTTCCATGTGTAGTTTTTGTGATAGGATATCTTTATTAATAAGCTCTACGAATAAAATGAAATAAACATATAAGTGAGTTTCATAACACATCTTAACCTAAAACTTTAATATTATGTCTATGTGTTCATTCACTTATATGCTTTT